TTCATTGAGTTTTTAAATATCTATATTTACACCCTATTATTGCAAATGTTATTAAAGAAAGTGTTTATTTTAAAATTTATGTAATTTGCAAATTTTATAACATCAAATAAATAAATATCGCAAAGATGTCAAAAAAATATTATTTATATACCTATTTAGTTAATGTGGCTTCTGATGGAGGTTCTGAATTTATTAATCATACATTCGTAATATCGCCCAAAGATTAATCGATGTTTGCTATCATTTCTAATGTCGCGCGTCGTCGTTCTTTCATATTTTAATAATAGCTTTTGTTCTAATTTTGGTTTGAGCTTTTGGTGGGTTTGTGTTAATTTAGGTATTAGCGTTGAGTGAGGATCCTCACTCAACGGTATTAGTGTGTTGTGGACATCGTTTTTCCACATTTAAAAAATTTTCAAACTTGGTGGAACATTCAGCAAATTTACCATGTACTTTAATGTACGTAAAATAAAAGAATCGAACTTGCTCTGAAACTGTGATGGATATCAGATAATACCAATAGAAATGTTCGTAATTTTTACTTGATACCTTTTTTATTCACTGGGCGCTTATAAAAATTTAAATTGTCGCATAATAAGGTACCTACAAAGTTTACCAATTTTGATTTCAATATTTCCGTTAGTTTGGGAAATACAGGGTGTTCCACTTAAGAGGGATTCTTCTGTAGCTGTCAAATTTATAAAAAAATGATTTTAATAAAAGTTGCTTGGAATCGTGTGGGCCAGGTAAAGAAAATATTTTTAGCTTTACAGAGCATAGGTGCTACATAACTTTGTTATTTTAAATTGAACACCCTGTATATTATTGCACTTTTGAATTCCTTGGTTAATATTAGGTAGAGTTTATTGAATGGTGTTTAAAACTTATCATTTTCGAGATATTCAGTTGCTTTTTAAAAAAATCACGATTTCAGCTCTCTAAATGAGGCTAGATAGCGTCTAAACCGTAAAAGCTAGAAACCTGCAGTTTTCACAGTTCGTTTTGGCATAAATTACTCTATCTTGTCATCCGTGAGCAAAACATGTAGGTTATTCAGACTCGGAAATACTGAAACCTACATTTAATAATCTTACGAGTTGATAAACTTTTTTTTTTCAAATGGAATAATCCATATTAATTGTCATGGATGAATGAAAAATGATATCAGGTTGCCCATACATATCTTTTACAATTTTCCAGAAAAATCAGGGTCTTTTCTAAAGTCCGAAAAAGTAGCTATGTAACGGCGTCCAGAAGGCCTTGCAATAATTGTATTAGTACAACGTTGATACATAGGATTTTACAAAAGCACAGCGCAGCACATCCTTATCGCATCCAATTACACCAAGAGTTACTAAAAGTAGACTTTCAGCGGAGACTGGAGTTTTGTCAGTGGGCACTCGAGATGTTAAATCAAGATGATGATTTTTTTAAACGGGTCATGTTCTCCGATGAAGCTACTTTTCATAAAAATGGTTTCGTTAATAGTCATAATTACCATTATTATGACACAGTAACTCCTCACTCATGTCATTGGACTATTTTTTTTGACCAGCATCTAACTGGAGCAGTTTAATTAAACTTTTTAGCAAACACTAGAAGATTTGCCCTTTGCTTTAGCCACACTTCGAAGAATGTGGATGCAATATGATGATGCTCCACCTCACAATATCGCTCCGGTTCGTCAGTTTTTAAACGAAACTTTTCCCAATAGATGGATTGGGCGCGGGGGACCAGTGAGTTAGCCTTCAAGGTGTGTGTCCAGGTATGACAAGTTGCAACTTCTTTTTTTTATGAGGATTTATAAAAAGCAAAGTTTACGTTACACAACCAACTACCGCGGAAGATATGTGGCTGCGCATTACAGTAGCATTTCAAGAAATTACGCCAGACATGCTGACCAATGTTGAACAGTCTTTTAAAAACTGTCGTAATGCTAATGTTGTGTTGACTTAAAATTATATTAAATATGCCGACAAATAATTTATAGATTATCTTTCAGTATACTCCATCGAGTTTTTCAAGTGCGGGTTAAATTTATAGAAAACTAAAACAAAAGTAAAATTGCTATTGTTGTATCCTAAATAATAAAAAATGACTTATCTAATACTATGGATGTAACATAATTTTATGCACTTTCTTCAAAAGAGAATATAAGATATAACTTGCTAAAATTCTTAAGTACCACAGGATTTCACATGCTTATCAATTCGTTTTTTAACATTTCGTAATATCCTATCTTTACTATGTCTCATATTTAGAAACTTATTTAATATTCTCCATTCTCGGTACCAATTATCAGTTTGGAATTTATGTTTGCTCGTGTTTGCTTGTCGAATACATGGTTTTACAATGATTTAATTGATCTTTTAATGATTTGGTATTTTCTAAATGCTATTTTTTATGTTAGGAGTATCTATAATTTGGAAAAGTTGACCTTGAAAAGTAGAATGTATGTAATTAAATTATTAATATTACAACAAAATCTATTTATATCATTGCTAATATCCTGGTTCTATTAAAAATATTTTTAATCTGTTGATTGAATGTTATGTTTATTTTAAGGCAATAGTTGTTTATGACAATGAAATGTCAAGGAAATTTTGATTTAATTATTCATTTTTATACAAAAAATCTCCAACATCAATGTTGGGTTACAAGAACTTGTAGGTACTTATACTCCGCGGTCGAAATTATAGAGAGTGACTCATCGCTAGCTTTTGGACTAGTAAGGGGGATGAAGCGTGCCGGGAACGAAAATCCATTGGCGTGTCTGCGTAAAAGGCAACAAAATCTAGAAAATATTGAAAAAAGATAATAAAACATAACATCTAATATTTTTTTACAGTTTGCCATAACCGGCACTTTGATCCATTTTAATTACTACAGCATTTTAAAACGTCCCAGTTGTGTTTTTTTAATTTATAAATTTATTATAGCCATGGAATTAGACCCCTCGTCTACGCTTATGCTATGACGTTTCTCAGGTCGGGCAAATCAAGTCCGTTTACACCCACTAAATAAGCATTTCCCTATTCCCTAACAAGTGCAAAAGACAGAGATAGAACATAGATCGACGTTCAGTGTAACTCAGTCTATAGACGATTATAGATTCTATCGATGTGCGTAGCGAGCGGTACAAAGATAAATAATATTGAATCGTATAAACATCAGTTTATATTTTATACGTATTATGGTAATAGTGTTTTTATATTATGTCTGAGTCACTCTCTATAATTTCGACCGCGGAGTATAGAAACATCCACGAGCACTATTTTCAAGATAGAATAGTAAGCGTAGGGAGATAAATACCTAAAATTGGGTACACGCCATTATACAGGGTGAGTCAGAAAGAATGGGTCAACACTAAGCTGGAGATACTAGACACAAAAATATCATGCCTTATACGAATATCGCTGGTTTAAATTTTATTATGAAATTTCTCAATAGTTGAGAAAGTTTTGATAGCATGACTGAAAATTGGTAGTGTTGGGTTTTTTGGTGTGAGAATTATGAATTTGAAGCCTGTTTGGACGTTGCTCCTAGAGGGCGCTGGTTTCACCGTATTATTTAGGTAAATCAATACATATTTTTTGTATCTGTTAAGCTATGCTTAAAAAAGTTAAATATCTAAAATAACGTTCAAATCTACATAAAAATGTACTTTTGTTTAGGTCGCCTAACTTATCGGTTTCTGAGTTATTTGCATTTAAAAGTTTCAATATATTTTGTTGTGATTTTTCATTCTCAAAAGATGAAAATAACAACAATTATTTATAATAGTAATAATCAAATTTATTTAGTTTTTTTTTACAAAATTGTAATTGTAAGAGTACCCTGTACATACAATTTTTTTTTTTGGATAAATTCTGAATCACCCTATATATCTCGAACTAAATTTGTATAAAAATACCTGTATTAGAAAAGCAATCTGGTTTATCACATAAATGAAAAATATAGATTTATCTGGACGTTTACAAAAAGATTAAATCGTGTAAAATTTATTATATTGTATTATACTGCACAATTTTTTATTTTTGTTTTTTATGTCCCAAAAATTACACAGGGCAACAAAATTTTACGAAAGGTCACACCCAAAACCCAGACCTCACTTGCCTGAAGGTTTTTGGTGTGTAGAATCCGAATCTTGCGTCAGAATTACTCCTATACGTCACGTTTCCGAGATATCCTTACCTAAAAGTGCAAAAAACACGTTCATTTGCAATATGTATTTGAGCTTATATCACAGAGCGAAAAATTGTTTTTTCTAAAAACAAATAATGTCCTCTAAAACTACTACTCTTACCCTTCAAAACGCTTTTATCAGATTTGAAAAATCTTTTTTATTCGCGGAGATATCATTGAATGAAGTTAGGTACTTTAGCGTTTTCATAACAGTGGTACTAAAATCGAAAAAAGTTCTTCAGAAAGCGGATATTTACATGTCTTTTGGGTCGCTCAATTCGAATCTGACCTCCAAATTATTCTATCACTAGGATTTTTAGATTTCGTAACCTAAACCTGCAAAATCAACATGTCTGGTTAATAGCGATAGTTCATCCTAAAATCATTTTTGCAGTTTTAGGTTAAGAAATCTCAGAATCCTAAAATGATGATTTGGTGGTCAGATTCGAATTGAGCGACCCAAAAGACATGTAAAAATCCGCTTTCTGAAGAACTTTTTTCGATTTTGGTACCACTGTTATGAAAACGCTAAAGTACCTAACTTTGTTCAGTGATATCTCCGCGGATAAAAAAGATTTTTCAAATCTGAAACAAGCGTTTTGAAGGGTAAGAGTGGTAGTTTAAGAGGGCATGATTCGTTTTTAGAAAAAAAATATATTTTTTTTCCACTTTTAGGTTAGGATATCTCGGAAACGTGACGTATAGGAGCAATTCTGACGCCAGATTCGGATTCTACGCACCAAAAACCTTTGGACAAGTGAGGTCTCGTTTTTGGGTGAGAAAATTGTTGCCCTGTGTTATTTTCCCCAATAATTCTACACCGGTCTAGTTAGGTCGATAGTAAACTGTTTATCGTCCCTTCTACCTCTGAGGCCGAAGATGAAGGTAGATGGTTTCGGCACATTGGTATAGTTATCCTTCTTTGTCTGTATTTCCTTATCCCTCATCTCATACGTCTGCGTATTCACGGTGTTTATGAAGTGAGACTTGTGGGTTTGAGTTGAGACCGTCTTTCGTTTGGACAAATTCGCCTAAAACGACAATAATTTCTCGATAGATTATAAACAACTGTAATAAAAAGCTTGAATTTGTACCAGTTGCAAAGCCTGTCTTTTGAGGTCCCATACGTTCCAGTAATAATTTCGATCGATTTTAGAACGAGAGATGTATTTGGTTTGAATTTTTTTATCTTGCGTCAGCTTGACATGGCCTTTTACTTTTGTTAATCTGCAAAAAAAACATCCGATATTTCAGTTTCAACCCAAGTAAAAGGATTTTCTAAATAATAAAGAAACTGTTACGATTGCATCATTATTTTCTGACTTACTCTGCGACATCAGCAACACCTTCCAACTGACCTTTTATAAGTAAAAAGTTTATCAAGTGAGGTTTTTTTCTCCCTAAATGCAACACTTCGTGGACCAACCTAGAAAAGGTAAATGTATACATTGTGGTTATTAGCAAGCTTTGAAAAAAAAATGTTACTCTTCGGGGTTCCTTGAAAATTCCAAACAGGCTTGGGGTACGGAGAAAACGAAATTCATCTTTTTGTAAGTCGCCACACCCATGCTTGGATTACCTGGAATCAAACCTCCTTTCGTCTTCACCAACTTCCAACTGCAAAACCCTAAATACTGATAAAATGTTTAGTTTTGTACTTTTGTGTTATAAATGGTTTTTTAGTCTTAAACGATCAAACTTTAGGGGTGGATAGAACATAAAAAAACAACACGGTTTGCTTTATAAAATTTTAAAAATACACCGTTTCTGAGATAACAGGTTCAAGTTGATAAAAAAAATAATAGTCCAGTCGGCAGAGGCCGAAAAGTTACTGTTGGTAACATTTCCTTGATAACTCGGAAATAACTACACAGGAATACTTTAAATGATGAGTACAATAACAGGCTAATTTGCTAACAAAGTATTTTATCAGGAAAATAAGTTATTAACAATTTAATCGTGAAAATTTTTTTTTTTAGTAGTTTTCTTTAAGTAACTCAGCGGGATGACTTTGTATGAAAAAATTCTTAGGACATGATTTTGTTCGTAATAAAAATAGCTACAAAATGGCGGTGGTCCGATTACGAAATTTGCAATAACAAAGCCGTGACATTGAAAAAAATGGTATAAAACGTAATTTTTTTAAAGTTGCTGTAAAAATGTCAATTATAAACAAAAAGTGATAAAACTTTCGAAAACTATAGCTCAATATATATATATACAATAATGACGCTAAAGCCGAAAATCAAGAGAGCAAAACTTTTTGTTCTATAAGGTGTTATACATTCATCGGCATCTGAAACTCGAAACATTGCCAAATTTGTTTGAAGTTTTGCTGACACTTGAAATTTGGTATACACATAGTGTAAATATGCAGAAACCAAAAGCAATTTGCAAAATTCAATTATCTTCATTTTGTCAACCAGTCTAATAAATCAAAAATAACTCTAGCACTATTTGTTTTACAAAAAATATTATAGGAATTTTTGGTACAAATACGTCTCTAAACATAATCTAATCATTAGAAGTTAAAATAATCATAGGTACAGAAAATCAACATTTTTTGAGGGGTACAAAGGGCAAATTTCCACGCCACTGATTTTTTCTGACTTTAAATAATTACATAGTATTTAAAACTGTATTTGCAAGAAAAAATTCCTATATGCCTTTTTTTTGTAAAACGATTTAGAATTATTTTCAATATATTCTCTGGTAAATTTATAATAATAATAAAAAAAATAACTGGAAAACGACTCATTTTAGCAATAAAATTCAAGATATTTTCTTTTTGAAATAGAATTGCAAATCAATTATATTTATGGAATTTCCAGAATACTCAGTGACGCCGAAAAATGATTCTAGGATCTTTACCACTGATTAACATAATTGTGAACAAATTCAGTCAATTTCAAGTTTCATTATTTTACATCAAATATTTTTAAGTATATTAGCGATTTTATATTTTTCACAATATCGAAGGATATTTAAAGGAACTTTTTCCTCAATTTTGAACAAGAATTCCACTATTTTATTTTTCCGACCATTTCCGAACACCCTGTATATATCGATCCCTCTCTCGCATAAGTTCTAGAGTTCGAAGCTAATACAATTTATATTTCATATCTTACCTGCAGATAGATGTCATCGATATTGGGAAAGTTCTGTAATTTAGTCACTTCAACTTCTGGATTTAGCGATTTGATTCTAAGGTTGGCAGTTTCTTGTAATCTCTGCGCATCGGTGTGCGGCCCAGTACTTTCTAGTATGCTGTCCATTTGTTCCTTGTTGAAATTAACGTTTTTCGAAAATCCGATTAAGTTGGTTATAATTTTACTGTATCGGGTCAGTAACATGACCTGATTTTGCAGTTCCGTCCATTTGTTTGACAAAACTTCGAACAGAGGCTGTTAGAACAGAAAATAAAAATAAATTAATTGATTATATATTTCTTCCAGCAATAGGTCTAAAGAGAAGTCATTTCTAGGAGGATAAACAAGAGACTTATACATTATTATTATCTACAGGATTAACTGGCCAAACTTGATATTTATATTTCGGTGATCAACAAAAAAAAAATCTGGAGAAAGAATAGTCCAAAACGTTTTGTTTTCGAGATACATGCTGTTGGCGTTTTAAAAAATAATTCATGTATTCTAACATAACTCTGAAGATGAGGTGATTAACGTACAGTGACAAAACTTGGGCTAAAGATTTATCTGAAGGTCAAAATTTGCAGAATTAGGATATAAATACTTTCAGCATTGCAATGCCAACAGCAGAGCCAACAACAGCAGCAGTAGGAACAGCGACATCAATAACATAATAAGAGTATTCCTTATTGAGTAGTCAGAGTTTCGTTACTATAGTAGTCACAGTATTCCTTGCGAACTCGGTAGAACGCTTCGTATCCTCCTTACGCATACTATCCTAAAGAAAGTAGTTCAAGAATAAGATTTAAGAACGTTGTCAACACCGTTGTCTGAAATTAGATGTTGTCGTTGTTATTGCTATTATTGATCTTGCTGGTGCTGCCGCTTCTGTTGTTGTCGTTGTCGTTGTCGTCGTCGTTGTTGTCGTCGTCGTTGTCGTCGTCGTTGTCGTCGTCGTTGTCGTCGTCGTTGTCGTTGTCGTCGTTGTTGTCGTTGTTGTCGTTGTTGTCGTTGTTGTCGTTGTTGTNCAACAACAACAACAACAACAACAACAACAACAACAACAACAACAACAACAACAACAACAACAACAACAACAACAACAACAACAACAACAACAACAACAACAACAACAACAACAACAACAACAACAACAACAACAACAACAACAACAACAACAACAACAACAACAACAACAACAACAACAACAACAACAACAACAACAACAACAACAACAACAACAACAACAACAACAACAACAACAACAACAACAACAACAACAACAACAACAACAACAACAACAACAACAACAACAACAACAACAACAACAACAACAACAACAACAACAACAACAACAACAACAACAACAACAACAACAACAACAACAACAACAACAACAACAACAACAACAACAACAACAACAACAACAACAACAACAACAACAACAACAACAACAACAACAACAACAACAACAACAACAACAACAACAACAACAACAACAACAACAACAACAACAACAACAACAACAACAACAACAACAACAACAACAACAACAACAACAACAACAACAACAACAACAACAACAACAACAACAACAACAACAACAACAACAACAACAACAACAACAACAACAACAACAACAACAACAACAACAACAACAACAACAACAACAACAACAACAACAACAACAACAACAACAACAACAACAACAACAACAACAACAACAACAACAACAACAACAACAACAACAACAACAACAACAACAACAACAACAACAACAACAACAACAACAACAACAACAACAACAACAACAACAACAACAACAACAACAACAACAACAACAACAACAACAACAACAACAACAACAACAACAACAACAACAACAACAACAACAACAACAACAACAACAACAACAACAACAACAACAACAACAACAACAACAACAACAACAACAACAACAACAACAACAACAACAACAACAACAACAACAACAACAACAACAACAACAACAACAACAACAACAACAACAACAACAACAACAACAACAACAACAACAACAACAACAACAACAACAACAACAACAACAACAACAACAACAACAACAACAACAACAACAACAACAACAACAACAACAACAACAACAACAACAACAACAACAACAACAACAACAACAACAACAACAACAACAACAACAACAACAACAACAACAACAACAACAACAACAACAACAACAACAACAACAACAACAACAACAACAACAACAACAACAACAACAACAACAACAACAACAACAACAACAACAACAACAACAACAACAACAACAACAACAACAACAACAACAACAACAACAACAACAACAACAACAACAACAACAACAACAACAACAACAACAACAACAACAACAACAACAACAACAACAACAACAACAACAACAACAACAACAACAACAACAACAACAACAACAACAACAACAACAACAACAACAACAACAGCAGCAACAACAACAACAACAACAACAACTGCAGCAGCAACAACAACAACAACAACAACAACTGCAGCAGCAACAACAACAATAACAAATACTACTGCAGCAACAACAACAACAACTGGCGGAGATACTCGGAATTATTATCGATAATGACTATATGGGGTTTGACACTTAGTATTCCTACAGACTGCTATATCTAAAGAAACTTAAGGATACTCTTATATCTGCCCTACTGGGTATTTTTATTATATGACCTAATTTTTATGTTCAGTATGAGTGTAAGTAACATTCTATTGTGTGTGGTGGCCGATAACAAACAAAATTTCTAGTTATTGGAATGAAATGCTTAGTAAGGTTAATAAAAGCATAATAACTAATAAAATAATGAAAAAAATATATTTTTTTAGAAACAGCACTAGGAGTAACAAAACATAAAATTACCAAAACTGGGGTTGATTATTTGAAATAAATGAAATGAATGAAATAAAAATTTAAAAAATACCTATTTTGTCTGAGTTTTTTACTTATCTTGGAACCTATGCATTTTGGGAGAATATTGAAGAGGAAAAAAGTTTTAGAATTGAATTTTGCACAATATACTTTAAGTTAAAAATGTTTAAATTTATTACCAATGTTGCAAAATAGTAATAATTGATGAAAAAAGGCAAAATCATCAAGTTTTTTAGATCATTTTTTTAAAATATTTTAATTGCTCCAAGGGCATTCTAATTTTGGTAAAAAAAAACCTTAGAGCATAATAAAACAACACACCAAATTTCATTAAAATCGATTCAATAGTTTTCGCAAAATAATTTTTTGGAAAAAATTTTGAAAAAACGTTGCACAGCCTCAAATAAAGCGTACAGATACTTGAAAATTTTTTAACATAGAAAAGACTCTAATGGTTTCAAAATACATTCATATTCAGAGTGCTGAAACATATACGCAAACAAATTTTTTCATTGAAAATACATAGTGTAAAATATACAGTATATTTAATGCATAAATAATAAACTTTGTTTATAACAAAATATATGTAAATTAGGCAGTTGGCATTACGATATTCGAATTCCTTGGCTCGCGAGACATCGGATTAATAAAAGAAGATCGAAATTGGTCCATTAGAAGACAAGATAATGCATTATTTTCGTATCTTCGCATTTTGATCCTCCGAATTCAGTCTCAGGGCGAAACCCCTTCTCCCACTTTTCGTGTTTGAGTCACTTTTCGCGCGAGTGACAGCTTTTCTAGTGATTTATCTATGTTGCCGATAACTTATGGATATGAAAATTTTTCCAGCTTAGATTATTGCTAAATTATTTATAAATTAACGATAAACTTTGACCGCTTATATCTCGAGAACAAATAAACGGAATTTTACTTTTTGTTTTTTAAAGAAGCGTCTTTCCGAGTACATTAAAATTATAATTTTTTAAACTAAATTGCAAATTGATAAATGTAATCTAATTGTTTAAAAATAGAAAAAAATAGTGTTAACTTTTAAAAATGTACTGTAGCCGTCCTAATCAACCGATTTCAATTTTTCAAAAACCATTTGAAAGCTTGAGCGGTCTTTTCTAGGTGAAAAAATGTTCAAGTATCTAAATGCTTTATTGAGGCTGTGGCATCATTTTGAAAATTCGCAAATTTGTTTTCAAAATTTGTTTCAAAAAATTATTTTGCAAAAACTATCGAATCAATTTTAATGAAATTTGGTGTGTTGTTTTATTATACTCTATAAAGTTTTTTTTACCAAAATTAGAATGCCCTCGGAGCAATTAAAATATTTTAAAAAAATTATCCAAAGAACTGGATTATTTTGCCTTTTTTTCATCAATTATTCCTATTTTGCAACATCAGTAATAAATTTAAACATTTTAAACTTACAGTATATTGTATAAAATTCAATTTTAAAACTTTTTCCTTTTCAATATTTTTCCAAAATGCATAGGTTCCAAGATATAAGTAAAAAACTCAAATAAAATAGGTATTTTTTTAAATTTTTGAAACATTTTTGCAATTTTGAAAATGTTCCGGACCTCTCCCAGTTCTAGGGATCTACAGGGTGACATAGAAAAAAGTACATTGCATAGTGTCATACAATAGAGGACACTAAAACAAGAAAAAAAGGATACGGGGTGTTGAATTTTAATTTTTTTTATTTGCAAAAACAATGATAAATACTTCAACAATTAAATTTTAATGGTATGATGAAAAATATGATTAATTAAAACAAAACATTAAGTTTTTAGAAGTGAGAAAACCAATGAAAAACTTAATCAAGAACACAAAATACCTCTAACAATTATTATATTAGTTTGACAAATGTCATTATGACACATTATTTAATTGTTATTTATCATTGTTTTTGCAAATGTTACTTTGGCGCTTTTTGAATAATTTGCGTGCATTGTCGGCTTTTGTACTGGAACCATTGCTTCTAGCGACTTGGACAAGGTATACCTTTCTTAGGTATAAAGAAGGGATAACAAATTTTTTTCAGTCGAAAATGACATAGAGTGTATAGCAAAAAAGTTAGGACCGATTCAATAGATATGGAACCCTGTATGTAGCGCCCTCTATCAGTAATCACAAAACTAAGATCATATTTGAATTTAGCATGATAAAAAAACCCCTGTATACCACATTTTATCCATTTCTTGCGCCTCTGGCTAAAGATATTAAAAAAAAAACCCAAACAAAAATAAAATTCAACACCCCGTATCTTTTAACCGAAGGCCTTGCAGACCTATGTTCATAGGAACTTTTTTTTCTTATTTTAGTGTCCTCTATTGTGTGGCACTATGCAGTGTACTTTTTTCTATGTCACCCTGTATATTTTTATTATGTGAATTGTACTGAAGGTAATCCAGCAAAAATTAGCTTGCCCCCTCTTACATCCAAGAAGTGGAATATTTCGACAGATCCGCCCTGGTCTATTAGCCATTCTCATAAGTACCTATACATCAAATAACATAAAGGAATAGAAAATATGATTTTTTTTTTAATTTCAACGCCCTTTTGCATTCCCAGCTATCCCTTCCTTTTTTTTTTTGTTTTTACCATTCAATTTTAAGTTTGTCTCCATAAAATACCTTGTAGGGTAAAAAACACAACTTACAAAAACCATTCTGGCTGGAACAGCAATCTTCACATTCACAATTTGGAATATTTCCTTTAGAGTAAGTTGAAACCCCTCGTAAATGTCATTGGAATGATCTTCAATATTTTGTAACTCTTCCAAGACTCTCCTGAAAAATAGAAAATGAACATGGAAGTGTTCATAATTCTCCAGTATACATTATTTAATTATACACATAATTATTCTAAATCAGCATTAAATAAATGTGTTACAAGATACCTGATGAATAGTTCACATTGTCTGTAAAATATCAGTAGATCCTTTATTTCTTCGATGTTCAGTTCTTCTTCGTTCGACAGTTTACACACCATTTTAAATTCACCATGATCTCCCTCTTGATCAAGAACGTAAGACTTATCCACGATCGTGGTCAGTACATTCACTTTGTCCATTATCTTCTTGAGAACTGCCTGCACCTCCTCTTTAATTGAATAAACGGCTTGGTCCAATAATGTGGGCACTAAATAAACACAAAAATGAACGGTCGCTTGGCTCCCTGTTGTCATATCACATCAGGTGGATTGATGGTGTGTGGTTTACTCAAACTAGATCAACGTCAAAGGTCATTAACGTTTTCAACAATAATAAGCACAATTTATTAGAAACATGAAATGATTCCACGAAATGGACGCAATCTCCGCCAATTGACGCACCTTCATACAGAATCCTTCATTTCGTGCGTATCATTTGCGGTTTAATTTTGTTGCTGTTGTGACATTGTAGCACTAATTCAGCTAATGAAGTGACAGAATAAAGAAAAAAAGAGTAGAGTATTCAATAAACCGTGCACAATTTATTAACTTTTTAAAAACACTTAATTTTTTTTCCACACTTCTTTTTACATTGTGACAACAAAACAATATGATGACTTTAAAATAATACGTCGCAAATTAATATAAAAGTAATCTTTTTTGTTTTTATAGAATTGTTTCCCATTGCAGTTTCGCTCTTTACCTCTCTGTTAGTTTTATACGACTGGTTTAAAAAGCTAACAGACAACATAAGGACGCACATGCATCGAGCTCAGAACCACAGTAACGGCGTGCTATTTAAGTGCTATTTAAAAAATGAATAATAACTCGACTATTTATTTAATTAAAAAAAAACGTAATTTCAGTTTAGTTTTCAGTGTATGGTTTGATTAAATAAAACTTTTGATTAAAAATGTTTTTCCCTTATTGTTGTCGTCATTATATGTCCTGGAAAAGTGTTTTTTTAGTGGAAGCACGTACTATTAACTACAAAAAACTAACCCCCACCTAAAGTTACACCTTTTATGAAGAGTAAAGGATAGTTTTAGGAAGTAATTTTTAATATTCATCTCAACTCTTTTTTTCTTAATTTTTCGTGTTTGAAAAATATTGAGACTATTAAGAAAAAATAATTATTTCTTATTAGACTGGAGATAATAAGGTTTATAAGGATGCTCTCTTATACCACAGACAATATAGCTTATCGCCACAGACTGCGTTTTACATGATGAAAATTGGCAGCCTAAAATGGATGCAGGGTCTTGTTAACCGGCATCCAGCAATAAAATTTAGCGTGGTATCTCTTCTACTCGGTAAAATAATAAATAAATAAATAAATAAAATAAATTCGATGCATTCAATTATGTAAAGAGATATGGAACTTATCTTTTGTTTGGAAATCACATTTGTGTTAAATACTAAATAAAATAAATCAAGTTTGAATTAAAACTATGAATTTACCTAATTAATTATTTATTTTATATCACCTTTACCAAACTTTAAACAAATTAATGTTTTTAGATTTGTGCGTCGACTTCCAGTTTGATACGATGAAAACACCTATATTTAAAAAAAAATTGCATTATACAGGTTGTGTATCCTTAGATGGGTACTGCTCTCTTATTGTTGATTTCTTTAGATAGGTAAAATAATTATTGACACAAGTGTTGCATATCATGGATGCCATTGATAATGCTAATATTTGTGACACAAGGTGTTCAAAAAATTAAACACAATGTAAAATGGCTGGAACCTTAAGGAGCAGTTGAATACGGAATTTATTTAAAAAAAAACAACAAATCATCAATCAATGATCCCTTACAGAGATAAGATAATGCGTTCGCTACTGCTGTTGCAATTTTTAACTAACTAACTTTTTTGTTTTTCGACATACTGACTTCGGACCGTTTCCATTCAACGCAGAACGGACAATCAGAACCAGAGTAGTGGGGAGATTTTTTTAATTATTTTTTCAATTCAACGCACCGTTTCCGAATTATAAGACCTTTTTTACTGTATCACCTCACACACCTCTTCTTTCCGAAATTTATTTTCCACATACGGACTTCGGACCTTTTCCATT